CGTGGCGCAGAGCGCGCGGTTTCCTCCTTCCCGCATCGGCGAATGCGCGCGCGATCAGCACAATCCGCGCCGTCTCCTTGCCTCCGTCCGGGCCGCGAAGATGAGGTGGCCCAAAGACGAACAGCAGAAGGTGGAGATGCTGACAGTGGCGTAAGTAACGAAGGATCGTGTAGATCGCGTGATACTCCCGCCGACAGGGCAACGAGAAATCGGATTCTAATTAGGGAAGTTACTCGCTGCAGCAGGGGAAACTTGGGTCCTGCTGTTGCTGCCTAAAGGACACTTGATTTGTACGCTTCCTACAAATCGAATACTTCCGCTGCTACGTGTTTTATGCAACCACCTTGCAAACTAGATGTTCCATATTTTCAATTCATCGAGTACTACTTGGGAACACCTTCAGTTATCGATGAATCCTCCTTTCGCCTTGCCAGCTAATGATTGGCTAGGCCAACGCCAAAGGCGCCAACGGTCCTCGTTGTTATTACTCGTCACCGAAAACAGTCGGTGTCACGTTCACAAGAGCCACGTAGAATTTTATCTACGTCAGTGGCCAGCAGAAAGAAGATGAGGTGGTAAGCCCACTCGACCCGTTTCACCTCTCCTTTCCCGCTTCTCGGTTTCCTTCGCACGGCTTGCCTCGACCACGTGCTAACTTACGAGCTACGATCTCTGTACCCTTCCACTTTCCCTTCTTTCTTCATCTTTCTACGTGGTCTCTTCCTTTCTACTTCCCTCCCTCGTACCCTATCACCTTCTCTCTCTCGCTCCCGGTGGATCGCTAGCCAGCTCGCTCTCTCGTGCTCGTCGACTCGCTCGTTCCTTTTGATTCGTTTTTTTTCTCTCATTTTATCTTTGTTTGTCCTTTTCTGTCCCCTATGTCTCTCCTTAGCCCGATCCGGCGCTGCGTCGTCTCGCTTTTTCGCTCCCCTCGAGTTCTCCTCGGATTATTAATCCACCGGAGTGAAAGAGAGGGAAGGAGAGAGAGGGAGAATCCGTGGCGTTCGCGGAGATTATGGGCCGAGAGCACGGCCAAGGTGCTGCTACGTTAACAAGCATCAATAGACCGACGAGGGGACGGGGGATCATGAGACGTGATTCGAAAGATGAGAGATCGCACTCTGTTATCCCCCTGTATAATCGATGAATCCGACCACAGGAAACAGATCGTTCGACAGCACTTTTTTACGGCGCGGAGCTTACGCATTACGAATTTTTCCCGCGAAGCTTATATCCGTGGAACGTCGCGATAGAGAGTGTACTTTGCTGGCAATTTGTTCGTCTTTTGTAATGCGGTTCCAGCTGTTTCTGAAACAAAAGGTTGAGAGCTATTGAATTCTTTTGTTGCTTCGGTTGTTTCTTATTGGGGAGTCGTTGACTTTGGAGACAATTGAACGGTGTGGGGTGTGTGCATTCATTCTGAGTGGACATGCAACGTTGTAGAATTCGTTTAGCGTGGGAATTTGTTAAAAGCTGTTGTGTATAATTTGATGTGTTGCCATTAGTACCTTGTTCTGTGATCTCTGCCGTTAAATTTACTTTGTTGTTAATAATTTACTAGAAAGAGAAAGTTAGTGCAAAACTTAATAATTGATAAGAGGAAATAATATGAATATAAATATTGTGAGATAAGAGGTTAAACGCATGTTTTCTATTAACTCTTCGTCTTGTATTATATCTTGAAGATTTCAAACGGAATAAATTTAAATATTATTCCTCTGTTTCCAGCAAAAGCCGAGTATGGTAACTTTGTTATCGTATTTGACATTCGTGCCAAATACATATATACAATGAATACAGAATACTTTTTTCTTTTTAGTAAATTATTGCTAATACAACTTTGATTCCAGAGAAACATCATCAGCCAAGAGATCAAACTCTTCTAAAAATGATTTATAAAGCCGCTTTAATTACGTAAAAAGGATTATCACACATACGTATACACAACGTCGCTTAATCCAACTATACCTCAACGCAACACATTACTAATTTATTTCAGAACATTCGAGAAGCATTCAAATCATACCCGCATACAACAAAAATCCATAAAATACTTAGCTACCGGGTTGAAATCAAATATCAAGTCCATCCCGACACAGGCCCTTAAAGGCTGTAACCGCCGAAATCCCTTAACCAAAATCCTCCGAAACCAATCCCGGAGCCCCGAAAGCATCATAACCAGGACAATTTCCGCGTCGCGATCGCTGGTTCGTCCGCGTCGCGAAAATAACGCGCGCGGAACAGTTCGGAAGGAGGACACCGATTGGTCCCCGCTGTTCGTGACGCGTATTTTCGCGTGTAAAATGTAAATGGCGCTGCCCTGTGTTTCTGAGGCCGGCCAGTTTCCCGCGCGTACGTGTGCGTGCACGAGGAAGATGGGAACAAGGAAAAGAGAGAAAAGGGGCGAGGAACGGCGAAGCGTGGAGGGGAGGGGGAGGAGGAGGAGGAGAGAAAGAGAGGCGAGCCAGGGTTCAAAGAGCCGACAGTGGTTAAAGAGCCTTCTTCCTCTCTCCACCTCGACACGCACAAGTACAAGGCGCAACCTTTCGAGCTACCCAGAAGAGTATCATCCTCTTCCACCTATCTCGTTCCCTCCCCGGAGAGCCGTCGGTCCCCCTCGCTCCCAGGCGCCTCTCGATCCTCCTGCCCGTTCCACGCTCCTCCGGCCCGGAGCAAATTTATTTCACGTTCCTGCCTTTTCTGGACCTTTCACAATATTTGGCTGTGCTTTGGCATCCGAGCATCGGTCGCGGCGGGCACCGGTCACCAGAAGATACGGCTTTGAGCCCTCGGTGATGGATGGTTCGCTCTCCAGCCCGCCACGAATCGTTGCTTCTACGCTTCGTGTCTGTTTCTCTCCTCCTCCCACCCCCGTCGCCGTCCTTTTCCTTTCTTCCCCGATCCTCTGTCCCGCTCGCTCCAAGCTGTTGGCTTTTCTTCCCTCCGAAGAGGATGCTAGACTGCCGCTGATGGGGCCCAGGGCCGGTCAGTCCTTAGGTGTGTAGACGCGAAGTTCCTCGCCGCGGACCAGACTTGTCCACAGTGGTTTCGGCTTATCGAGGATCGCATCGTCCAACATCTTTGCTACTAGTACTTCATTCATCGAAGTTCTTCGTTCGAAGTCGATCGGTTTGCTCCCAGATAGCGTACCTCGGTATTCGTGTTACAACGGTGTCCAAGTGATGCAGCATGGTTCCGTAACGAAGGTTCGAGATGTGTGAACGATCAGCCAATTTCCAGTAGGACCCCGTGGAAACCACGAAAACGTATCCCTCGAAGAATGACCCCTGCGTGTTCGGGTATCGCAACAAGCCGTCCCTGGGTCCGTGGACCCGCAGCCCCGCAGACCGTTCCACCGAGTTCGTGCAGGTATATAAATTCTGGTGCTATTATTGGGGTTTGTGCCTTCTCACAGAGCCCTCTGGGGCCCGCGGCGGCCCCTTTGAGCTACTCCTTCTCTCTCTCTCGTCGTTTCTCCCTCGGTGTCTCCCTTTCTCTCTCGCCAGCACTG